AAGTGTTATACCCCCATTCTTCTAACCCGGGCCTATGTTAAGTTCTCGCGTGAGGCAGATATTACGGTAGGCCTGAGTGGCATCCTCGGGGATAGGTTTTAGTAAGTTCAGTATGGATACACCACTTCCACTCACGAGAATTAAACGGTTATCATCTATATCACATATACAATAATAAAAAAATTTTCCCTCAACCCAAGGCTGTTTGGACGAATCGAGCGATCACGGATTGGGTCCTGTAAAGGGAAGTGATATACCTTCACTCTATCGGCCTGTCCCGGGCTCAGACCTCGAGTAAGTCAATTACAGCGGTGGGCCTGTGTGGCGTTCTCGGGCTTGATGACAATATTATTTTATGACGCTTAATGAGTTATTCAAAAAAATTATAAAATTTTTAAATATAAACATTGTTTAATTTATTTTGATATATTCGTTTTCCTCAGAAGTTCACGATTACGAGCATATATTGCACCAATAATAACACAGGCCTGCAAAATTTAACTTTTTTCAGTTTCTAGAATGGGTGTACTTGTTTCTTGTAGTTTTTTATGTGCTAAAAACGAATCTGACCTTCAAAATGCCCCATCACGTCAGGATTTTTAGTAAATGTAGCCTAAAAGGTAAAAAATTGGCCATTTTAGCCATTTTTGATAATTTTTTTTGGGATAGAATTTTTTTTTCAATTTTCGACGAAAAAGTCGCATAGTACAACTCTTTAGCTTTAAAACCTATTTTTTAAAATTATTGAACGATTTTTTTAAAAAAATTATGACATTTTGAAATTTACAGTTTCAGTTACGCCAATAGACGTTATAGAGCAATTCCATGGGATGTGATCACAAGAATTTTTGATGATTGGAGCAATTTTATTGAAACGTTGTGAATATGTTCCTTTATTTGTACAGAATGAAAGCCCACAAACAATTTTTTAAAATTTTTTGAGATATTTCTAATTAAAAATTTATGTCATTTTCTTAAAAAAACCATGTAACTTTTTTTCCTGTTATCCAAATGAGATCAATTTTTCTTAAATTGCTCACAAAAAGATGCTATTTTAAGAAAAAAAATAGTTCATGAAAAAAAAAAAATTTTTGCCCGGAAAAAAGTAAAAAAAAAAACATTTTGAATTCATTTTTTAAAAATACTACCTCTTCGATTTAAAAAATTTTTTTTCTGCTTAATGCCTATGATGTTAAGAATAACTTCTCTAATTTTCATAATGGGACAGCAAGAACTTTGCGAGAAAAAAATTAAATATCCCGTGCAGCGCGACGGGACGCGCGCATCTTAGTTTTCACGTCCTTTATATAGTATAGAAACTTTCAGATATCTCGAAAAGTACGAATTTTCGTAAAAAAAGTTTAAGACAAAAGTTGTTCCAAACGAAAAGATCTACATATTTGAGACCAAAAAATTGGGCCAATGTTGGTCCATACAATGAAAAAAGTGGTTTTCTTAAATAAGACCATTAATTTTCAGTATCAAGTTCGTAATCCCTATGAAATTCTGCGTTCAGACATGTTGTATAAGTGCCCAAAATATTGGTCCCAATGTCTGAGATTGGGCCCAATATTTATTGACAAACAAATAAATAAATTTTAAAAAATCTTATCTTTGGGGGCCCAATGTGAGACCTACTGTAAAAAAATTAGTTTCCATCCATTTCGTAATCGTTATGAAATTCCAAAAATATTGGGCCCAATCCCAGACATTTGGCCCAATATTTTTGGCATTTGTACTACAAGTCTTAACCCAGAATTTCATAACGATTACGAAATGAATACTGGAAATTAGTGGGTTTTATTTAAGAAAACTAATTTCTTTACTGTGGGCCTCACATTGGGCCGTGGAATCTCACATAGGGCTCTGTGCCCAATTACAAAATTAGCTTCGAATTTCTAATTCTGTGACCCCAAAAACCCCAAAGATAAGATTTTTAAAAATTTATTTATGTGTTTGTCAAAAAATGTTGGACCCAATCTCATACATTGGGACCAATATTTTGGGCACTTATACAATATGTCTGAACGCAGAATTTCATAAGGATTACGAAGTTGATACTGAAAATTAGTGGTCTTATTTGAGAAAACCACTCTTTCCATTGTATGGCCCAACATTTTTGTAACATTGTAGATCTTTTTGTTTGGAACAACTTTTGTCTTAAACATTTTTTACGAAAATTCGTACTTTTCGAGATATTTGCCAGTTTCCATACTATATAATGGACGTGAAAACTAGGATGCGCACGACCCATCGCGCCGCACGGGACGTTTTAATTTTTTTCTCGCAAAGTTCTTTCTGTCCCATTATGAAAATTAGAGAAGTTATTCTTAACATCATAGGCATTAAACAGAAAAAAAATTTTTTAAATCGAAGAGGTAGTTTTTTCCAAAAATAAATTCAAAATTATTTTTTGACTTTTTTCCGGGCAAAAATTTTTTTTTTTTTTCATGAACTATTTTTTTCTTAAAATAGCATCTTTTTGTGAGAAATTTGAAAAAAATTGATCTCATTTGGATAACAGGAAAAAAAGTTACATGGTTTTTTTAAAAAAATGACATAAATTTTTAATTAGAGATATCTCAAAAAATTTTGAACATTTTTAAAAATTGTCAAAAATTCTTGTCATCACATCCCATGGAATTGCTCTATACCCAACGAATCTTTAGACAGGTCTTGGGAAAAATATTTTCTATAAAATCTTGTTTCTATCTTATTGGCTTGAAATTTGTTACTCAGGGGTTTTTGGGGTCGCTGATTACGAATCTGAAGTCGGATTTTAAAAATTCAAAATATCGGATCAAATATGTCGGACAAATTTTACAAAAAATGATCAGATTTCCTTGAAGCTCGTTACTCGGGGGTTTTCGGGGTCGCTGATTACGAATCTAAAGTCGGATTTAAAAAATTGAAAATGGCGGATCCAATAAGGCGGACGAATTTTACAAAAAATGATCTAATTTGCTTGAAACTCGTTACTCGGGTGATTTCGGGGTCGCTGATTACAAATGTGAAATCGGATTTTAAAATTTCAAAATAGCGGATCCAATATGTCAGAAAAAATTAAAAATTCATTGTATTCGCTTGAAATTTGTTACTCGGGGGTTTTGGGGGTCGCTGCTTGCGAATATGAAGTCAAATTTTCAAAATTCAAAATGGCGGATCCAATATGGCGGACGTATTTTATTAGAAATTGTCGGAATACCTTGAAAATTGTAACTCAAGGGTTTTTGTGGTCACTTATACAAAATCTATTGTCAGTTTTAATTATTCAAAATGTGCGATCCAAAATGGCCTACATTTTTGAAAGAATTTCAATAAAAATTCGTTTCTCTGAGGTTTTTGAACCACATAAGGCAGGCCATATTGGATCAGCCATTTTGAATTTTTAAAATCCGATTTCATATTCGTAATCAGCGACCCCGAAATCCCCCGAGTAACGAGTTTCAAGCAAATTAGATCATTTTTTGTAAAATTCGTCTGCCATATTTGAAAAATATGGATCCGACATTTTGAATTTTTAAAATCCGACTTCAGATTCGTAATCAGCGATCCCAAAAACCCCCGAGTAACAAATTTCAAGCCAATAAGATAGAAACAAGATTTTTTAGAAAATATTTTTCCCAAGAACTGTCTAAAGATTCGATGGGTATAACGTCTATTGGCGTAACTTAAACTGTTAATTTTAAAATGTCATAACTTTTTTTTAAAAAATCGTACAATAATTTTGAAAAATCGGTTTTAAAGCTAAAGAGTTGTACTATGCGACTTTTTCGTCGATAATTGAAAAAAAATTTCTATCCCAAAAAAAATTATCAAAAATGGCTAAAATGGCCATTTTTTTACCTTTTAGGCTTCATTTACTAAAAATCCTGACGTGATGAAGCATTTTTAAGGTCAGATTCGTTTTCAGCGCATAAAAAACTACAAGAAACAAGGACAGCCATTCTAGAAACTCACCCTCGCAGGACTGTGTAATAAATGTTAATATTCAAAAGTTTTATAATTTTAGTTCCATTCAATAAACCTACATGATGTGTTGTAAATCGATTTAACCCAATGGTGCTGGCACCAAAAATTTTCTTCTTGTTTTTTATTTTCCAGTACATATAACCACATGGTGATTGATCAAACCGGGCTGGTAAAGTGGGGGACACAACTTCACCTTTCAGGACAGTATTTAAAAGGTCATCGACCATCTTACGAACCCTTAACCGAAAGCTGTTTTGACAAATCAAATTTCAGGTAGAAACCTTCGAGAACCCTAATTATCAAAGTAAAGATATATATGTATATATAATCTAATAATAATGAGAAAATTCAAGTACTAAGAAAATGTGAATGAATGAAGGAATGAATACAAAGATTATTATTCTTTAATTTTGCCTTTAATTCAATATAACAAATTTTGCCTTTTATCCAATACAACTACCAATATCCAATAGAATGAGAGAACTATGAATGAGTAACTACTGATCAGCCAATAAGTGCAAAAGGACACTCTTATATGATTAATCAGTAGTTCATTACAGATACCATATATACATATATATATACACTTGTATCAAAACCCCGGATTAATTACCACAAAAAACCAACCCTTGGACAATAGAACCTTTGTTAAATAATCAATGAGAATTAACTCTGAGGACCCAGGTAATAATTTCTTTTCTCCCATTTATTACATGGAAAAATACCCTTAGGGCCGATTTCACTGACTGGAATTAATGTCGTGGTTAAATAATTAGGTTTATATTTTAAACGATGATTTGAATTTACTATTATTGCACCATCTTAAATTAATGTAAGAATTCTTGATTAAAGTATTAGAATTATAAGAATGAGTTCCACCATATTTTTATTGTTGATTAAAGCAAAGTAATCTCAGTTTAACTTAATTGCCCAAGTTTGACCGTTTAATAAGTTAATCAGCGATTAATACTAATGATATTGACATGAAAAAATAACCTACAAATCAAAAAGGTTTTTATTAATTAGAGATGTTTGAATTTTATGATGAAATTTTATCATCATCTTCCGAAGATGAAGAAATGGTTCTTCATCGTCGGCCAAGAATTATTCATGAGCGACGAAACTATTTTGATGTTTTAGACGATGTGGATTTTGTTGTGCGTTTTCGTATAACTAAAGTATCAGTGCAAAATATATTGCAAGAAATTCGACATGAATTGGAACATGCTACTACACGGTAAGTTAAAAAAATTATTATTTTTTACTGAACAAGTTTCCATTATAGCGAGATTATTTATTTCTTTTTGTACTTTTCTATATAGATTTTCATTTTGACACTTTTACAGGAACCACGCGATTTCACCAATGATACAACTTCTTCTATCATTGCGATATTATGCAACTGGATCATTTCTTATCACTGTTGGCGACTTCTCTGGAGTCAGCAAGACAAGTGCTTTTAGGATTATCCATAGAGTGAGTGCAGCTATTGCTCGCTTATCTCGAAACATAATAAAGATGCCTTCTACTCAACAAGAAATAACAACTGCACAAATAGACTTTTATAGTATTTCGCGCTTCCCTCGAATTATTTCCGCATTGGATTGTACGCATATCAAGGTTCAATCATTTGGTGAGTTCTTTACACAATTTTTAGTTATACCAATAAAGACGAATACCAGAGAAAATGTAACTGATTTTATTTTATGTATTATTTTACTTCATACTTGCAGGTGGAAATCAAGCAGAATTATATAGAAATAGGAAAGGATACTTTTCATTGAACGTTCAATGTACATGTGATGCTCATTTAAAATTTACGAATATTGTATCACGTTGGCCAGGATCTACCCATGATTCAACAATTTTTAATTATTCTAAATTACGCGCTCGCTTGGAAAATGGAGAATTTGGTGATGGTTTAGTTCTTGCAGATGGAGGATATGCATTGAAACCTTATTTGATAACTCCTTTACCAAATCCACAAACTGACGCTGAACGGTTGTTCAACGAATCACAAATAAGAACTCGCAACCCTGTTGAACGAGCATTTGGAGTTTGGAAACGTAGATTTCCTTGCTTAGCAATTGGGATGCGTTTCTCAAAACATCGTATTATTGCAATAATCGTTGCAACAGCTGTTTTGCATAACATTGCACTTACAAATGGTGAGCCACTGCCACCAGATGATGAAGCTTTAAATATTCGATGGGACATTATTTTAAATGAGGAGGTTCATAATCAAGGTCCTCAAGATCCCGATCATGGAAACACACGTGAAATTCTTCTTCATTATTTTCAAAGGTAAAATTTAAATTTTATTCCTTTAATAAGAATTAAATATGATCGATGTTTTATTTTTAATATTAAATTACTTCATTGCTAATTAGTATAAATTTAAATTTTTGTTTTAGTCTATTGTGAATGATCTTTCTCCAAGTGGACACGGCGGTGTGAATTAATAACTGTACTGAAGAAAAAATCAAATAAGTGAATAATATTCAAAAAGTATTTATTTTTATGTAATAACAAAAAAATTACAAACTACAAGAGTTTTTTTGCATATATAAGTACAAAATCACAGCAGTCGAGATCAGTCTTGATATTAATAATATTCTTCATTGCGACACTGTTGTTAACGATTAACGGTAATCAAATTCTTATTCATTTGCGTTAATTTGAAAATTATTAAGGGATGCTTGCGCTCCTTCAAATGAAAATAATCAACTTTTTCTTTTCATTAATTGTCTACTTTCTTGTATTATTGTACGATCTTGCAAAACTATAAAATAAATTATCAATATTATAATAATAAAAAACGAAAATAATATTTTTCACATATATAAATATATATGTTAATTTTCAAAGTTTTATAAAAATTAATGCAAGTAACTAAATATTGCGACATATGGATTCAGTTTTCTTTCTCCAATTGTTTGCGTAGAAGTGCGATTTCCAATTCCTGCTTTATTACTTGTTGCTGTAATAACTTTTTTTCAATTTCAGCTTTTTCTCCAGCCTCTTTTTTCAAAAAGTTTAAATATTCTATTTTCAATTCTGAAATTGAGACAGTTGAAGCTGCAGTATCGTCAATTGATTTTCGATTAGACATCCCAGAAGCCGGAGTATCATCCAGTGATTTTTGAGAAGACTTTCCTGAATCTACTTGTGATCCGCTGCCTACTATCAAAGCAGAATGTTTTTTTGACCTTAACATAGCTGGAGACCACTGGGACCAATCCATCATTTCATCATCATCGAGAATCTACAATGAATTATTATGTCATTACAGGAGTTAAAATAAGGAAACTTTTTTGAAGATTTTGCAGATGTAGTATTTTTTAGTAAAAGTGAAACTTTACCTCTTGCGAGTTATTTAGAATATTGTCTGTTGGTAGAAGAACAGTATCTGCAGTACTCAATGAATATGAATTTATATTCTCTGTTTCAGCGTTCAGTAGTTCACCGTTTTCTCCCACAAGAAATTGTTGGACATCTTTATCTGTAATATAAAATTAACTCAAATAAAAGTTGAATTTGACAAAAAATATGTTATACATTTATTTATAATTGATAAAAGTTTAATATATTTAAAAAAAAATTATTTTTCTCATTATTTGTAATTTATTATTTGTAATAAAGATAAAAAAATTTATACTTTTTAAAATTAGTTTTTATTTACGTCAACTCTAGTACAATAATTTTAATAAATAAACATTAAAAGAATATATTAAAAATTTTTTTCTATATACCATGGCTGTAGACACTGTTGTATAAAAATAATGTAGTTTCATTCACTTACCTATTATTGAGTCGTCATCAAAACCATTTTCAATTGGAGTAATTAGAGGTTTTATAACTCCTTCTACTTGAAGCAATAAGGGATCATCTTTGATTTTATTTGAGCCTCCTCCTAATAATAATTTTTAATAACTGGGTCAGGCTTTGCCATACGGATCACAGAATATTACAATAATTTTAATTTCAGTGAACCATTTTAATTTTTTCTCGTGTTCACGTTAACTGATTAAAAACAAAGAAGCATTCTCTTCGTCTTGAAACGTAGAATTTGAAAATATTTTTTGTCACAATTTTTTTTCCATTTCTTGTTTTCTTAGTTGTTTATTTACAATTTCAAGTAATAGCGAAACATTTTTTTCTCAACAGATTCTTTAGTAAAAATTTCTGAAGAATACGATTGAATTGTTAAATTTTGCATACAGTATGAAGAAAACTGCTTATCATTATATTTTTGTTAATAATTAATTAAAAGAACTATAAAAAATGAAAACAAATTTCAACCAAAAATATTTTAAAATTCTACGTTCCAAGACGAAGAAAATAATTTTTTGTTTTTCTAATCGATTATTAGGAACTTGAGAAAAAAATATTTTGATTTTTCGCCGTTAAAAATTCTAAATGTTAATAACTTAAACCAAAAAATTTTTTTTTATTCTTTTAACTTGCATGACATGTTGATCACCTAAGGACCAAAAATAATTATGTTTCACTGGATAAAGAATTATCATAATATTTGGCGATCCGTTTGGTAAAGACTGACTCAGCTTCATTTACGTATTGTTTTTGACACTATAATCTGTAAACATTCACTTACCAGTGCGATAAATTTCCTGTCGCAATTCGCCATAATGCTTACGAGTCAATCTTTTTAGATTATCCCACAAGACTTTCAATTTTTCCGCAGAGCGATTATCAGCAGCTGAATTTTTTGCATTGAATTCAATGCTCAGTTTCTTCCAAGCTACATCCTTGGCCTTTGAAGTTATGGCGTCCGTTTTTTGCATTCTATAATATTTTTATATTTTTCTACTAGGGTTGTCAAAGTCATTTTTTCAATTTTTGTAAAATTTGCGATTCGTTTTCTAATTGGATTTTCCTGCAAAAAATTAAGATGTTTACTATTTCTTCAATACAAATTTTGTTAAAAGTTATAAATTTTTTTATTTTGACGTTATATTTTTTTAAGAATAAAAAATATTGCAATAATTATTACAGGGTACTTACCTTCATCGACTTTTCTGACATTTTAACAAAATTTACTGTTAGTTTTTATATATTAGGTTACAAGAAAGCACGTAAATAACCACGTGATTTGCTGATGTAAATATGTCGAAAATAGAGAGTCAGAAGAATGTTTGTATATGAATATTTTGAATAACCAATCAGAATCTGCTTCAGTAGAAACATGTGTGTTATTGAGAATTGAGTATATTTGATTACCTAAACAATGATTAAAAATGTGTTATCAAATTTCGTGAAACAGAATGGAAATTAATTTTATTTTGATTGTCGATTATAAGATAAACATAATTATTTAACCACGACTTCCATCCTAGTTGGTAAAATCTGATTGGTTATTCAGAGCATTCTTGTCCAAGTATCTTCTCTCTCTCTCTCTCTCTCTCTCTCTCTCTCTCTCTCTCTCTCTCTCTCTCTCTCTCTCTCTCTCTCTCTCTCTCTTTTTCTCTCTCACACACACGCACCTTTGTTTTTTTGAAAAACCGTTTTTCTTAGCTACTTACTTACATTGTAATTAATAAATCAGTTTAAATAAAAACTGTAGAAAAATGTAAAAATGGTTAAAAACTTAAAAATAATAAGCACCCTATAAAAATTTTAATTTAATACGCATTTGCAACTGAAGAAGATATATGGTAAAAATAAATATCTTTTTGTAACTTGTAGAACGACAATGTTGAAGAAAATGAAACCTCATAACTTTTTGCCGAAAAAATCCAACGAAGAAGTAACAATTTTACAAAGGTTTAAAGAGAAAAATTGAAAACCTCGGTTTCTTTCTAAAAATATACAATGCGAAAAAAGCAATGAACATCCTAAAGGGCCAGTACAATGTTGGTAGTGTTAAACGTTAAGCCAATAAGAATACTCCATTAGAATGATTTCCATTCAATCGGAAATTACTATTGGCTAAATGCTTGCTCGCTTTCAAGTCAACAGGGCAGCCGATCGTTTCCGCGGAAGATTTGAATTTCAATAAAATTAAATATTTATTTTTAACGCAAAATTATTAATAAAAATAAATAAAAGATAATAGAATTACCACATTATTATTATTTTAAAGTGAAATGGGAATGAATGTTATGTATGTATGCAAGGCAGTGCTTGCATGCTTGCGTTCCAACACATTACGGAAAAATACATTTTTTACCACATTCATTCCCAATTTCACATTAAAATAATATTGAAGCGTAAATTCTATTATCTTTTATTTATTTTTATTAATAATTTGCATTAAAAACAAATATTTAACTCCATTTAAATTCAAATTTCCCGCGGGAACGATCGGCTGCCTGCGCAGGCAGCTGGAAAGACGAACTGTGCAAATACCTTAAAAGATATCCAAATAACTCGGATGATATAAAATGTCATTGGCTGAAGCGAAATAGCGCTCTTTACTTTAAAATAACTTAAATGAACTGAACTTTTCAGATGGTGAAATTTTTTATACAATTCTGATGTCATTTTAACATGCTATGAAAATGCATTTCATATAACACGTTCTAGTGTTAATTTAACAGACTCCAGTGTTATTTTAACAACAAATGTGGTGTCAAAATTATTCAGTGTCGGTTGAAAATGTTGCGTGTAGTTTTAACTCTACATTTGGTGTAAGAGGTGAGATCGCTGTTTAACTTGTTAAACGGTCAAATTTGGACAATTAAGTTAAACGGTGATTACATTACGTTAATCACCATTTGGATTATGGTGAAACGCATTCTTATAGTTCAGGTACTTTAATCGCGAATTATTACATTAATTACAGTTGGTGAAATCGGCCCTTAGACAATAGAACCTTTGTTGATAAGGATTAACTCTGAGAACTTAGGTAATAATTTTTAAATTTTTTTATTAAAATTTTCAGGGACTCTAATACAGGTATGCACACATATATATATATATATATATAGATATATATTTATTTTTATTTTCAAAACAAAAAGGAAGAAGATTAAGATTTTAGACGAAGATATTCTTATGCCATTTTGAATTGTCTAGATAGAGAAACGCAATGTTAAAAGAAGAAGTACTTATGTTATATTCCTTAGTGTAAGAAAGAAAGGTATGCGTTACCTATTTAGTTTTAGACTTTCTTTATAGTTTTTTTACGTGATAAAGACAGAAAGAAATTATTACCTGGGTCCTCAGAGTTATTAATTAATCCTCTTTAAAAGATTGCAGGTCAAGTGAACCCTCATTTGCAAAATAAAGATATATCTTTCTCTCTCCATAACTTGTTCTTTTCTCTGTCACTGAAAACCCAGCAGGGGTTCGGACGGAATGAATGAATTCAAAGATTATTATAGTTAATTATATTTAGAAAAAGAAATATAGAATAAGTAAAAACAATTATTTATCAAAACTTTTTCTAGTCTATATTGCAG